GAACAGTTTTCAGGGATGACATTCTCTTTTAGAATATTATTATATTCTTAATAAAAACTATTAAATATACTCCAAAATACATTCTAATACTGGGGATAGAAGCATTGAAGTTTGAATTTCATAGAACAGTGGCAAACCTAAGGATTATGGGATACCGTCACTACCTAATGTAAACACAACTACATGAAAAAACTATGAAGCTATCAGATATTCAAAACTGCCTTTTCCTTCAGATTATGAGATAGATTTATTTAGACAGCTGAAACAGGATCCTGTAAAAGATGTCAGTCTCCTTGACCATTCCCCAAAGATAAGTAGAAAGGAATAGCCCAACTGAATGTTTTGACAGAACCTGATTTACAAGTGATTTTTGTACAGGATACTGTTAAATAATAATCTTCAAGATTTGTAACTATTTGAATGTTATCCAAAGAACTATTTGGCAATATAAAAATATGGAGCATGATAGCTAGTTTTTGCCAAAAAGACAGCTTTTTTAGTTGTGACAAAATTCCTGAGAGAACCAACAGACAAGGAATGATTTGTCTGAGCTCATGGTTTCCGTCTGTGGTTGGCTGATTCCACTGCTTTGTCACTGATGTAAGGCAAAACATCACACAGAAAGGCACAGTAGAGCAAAGTTGTTCACTTCATGAGTGACACAAAGCAAAGGAAAAGCAGAGGCCATGTGCTGATGGGCTTCCTCTTTCTGCCTTTGTTCCATCCAGGCCCCACCCAATATTAGGTGGTGACACCCACATTTAAGTGTAGGCTTTTCCCCCTTAGTTTGCTGGCCCAAACTTCAGTCATCTTGGACACACCCTCAAAGACAAACCAACACACATCTGGAAGTGTGCTTAATAATTTCCCAGGTGTCTCTCGATCCAAACATATTGACAATCAAGATTATACTATACTGGTATAGAAGAACTAAAATTTCTCTTCTGTCATGTGAATGCCCACATACCTTTGATTTTGTAAAGTAATATCTATTATAACAAGATATTAATGACACAATTTAAATATCATATGCAAATTATTTCACTGTTGCTTTAAAATGTCTAACATATAAAAAGTTCTCTAATATGATGCAAATGGGGTAATATCTGTAAAATCAAATAATTGTTTTGATTTACAAACAAGGCCCTTTTGGTTGCTTTAGTTCCCACTTTTTCTTCGCTGCCAAATTCCCAACCCCTTTTGATTAATAAGATGCCAATCTTGATGGACACCACAGTTCAATAAACTTTAATGCTCCATGTCCTGTGACTTCCAGAAATTCTGAGCAGCTGTCACTAACTTCACATTCTTTGTATTACTCTCCCTTTCCCTTTTTGTAGCTATCAGTGTTTCTTGTTCTGCTGGTTGATGTACCTCAAAAGGCAATAGGCCAGCCTCAGTCTTACTTTAAGTCACAAAACTGCCTGAGGCTTAACTTAGTTGCTAGTTTTTTTGTTTGTTTTTGTTTTGTTTTTGCTTTCTTTTGGGGGGGGGTCATTTATTTCTCCCAAAAGGAGCTCATTTAAATTTATTTTTAAAAAATTTCTTCTCATGTCTTAATCATTTGAACCCGAATAATGTTTTACTTAAACTATTACGGAAGTTATTTTCATTTTCCTTTCTAGCATTTTTCCCTTTCCTTCTTCCCCTCATCTCCCTCTCCTCCCCTCCCTACCCTTCCTTCTCCTTCCTTCCCTCCATTTCTTTCTTTTTTGAGATAGCTGCCCAGGCTGTTTTGGAACTCCCTGCAAATGATAATATTAACTCAGTCTTCTGATTGGCTGGCAGGACAGGTGTGCGGCACCTCACCCTGCTATGCTTCCAGTATTTTCTAGGAAAATAACTTTAGGAAACACAAATGAGTTTTAAAAATAATAGAACAAATTTATGACCCATTCAAAATAAGTACTGTTTCACCTGGAATTTTAGGACAAAGCTAAAAAATAACAGAACTAAAAGCAACTATCAGGAAAAGTGAAGACCCCTACACTGTAAGGTCAATTGGAGCAACTTGGAAATCAAGTACTGGGCAAAAGAGAAGCAGTGAGATTCCCATATTTCTATGTGACACACTTTCTTCAGTGACTACAGAACCCCATCACAGGCACTTGTGGCAAAGAAACTTTATGTTTGGATTGATGGTGAAAATGCAAAGGCATGAGATCAAGAATGTTTTTTTTTGCGCCCATGTGACCAAATTTTCAGTGAGTATTTATGTATGATCAGCTCTCTGTTCAGCTGGAACAATATCCAAAACAGCCACAATTTAAAGGAAAGGTTTATTTTGATTCATGGCTTCAGAGGCTTCAGTTCATGGTCAGCTGTCTCCAAGGCAGAAACATCATGATGGAAGGGCATGGCAGAGGAAAGCAGGACACCTCATGGCATCCAGGAAGCAGAGAACAGGGAATAGGGTGGCCAGGGACAAGACATAGTCCTCAAGGTCACACCCCCATGATACATCCACACACACTCAGCAGTGTACTTCATTAAATTCCTTAGCTTCTCTCAAGATAATTATAATAACAATCAAGATTAACCATCAGAACTCATACATGTAAGATTTTCTGCCTGCCTTTAATGTCTATCCATTGCTACCTAACAAAGTACTGTACACCTACAACTTATTTAAAATAAAATTTAGTACCTTGCAGATTTTGTGGGTCAGGAATCAACCTAGGGCTTAGCTAGATGCTTTGCTTCAGGATTTCTTATGTGGCTGCAATGGCAGGGTCTACTCTTAAGTTCCCAGCAGGGAGGACCTGCTCCCAAATTCACCCTTATAGTTGTTGCAGTTCCTTGTGGGATGTTGGTAGAAAGCCTCCCTCAATCCTTGGTTTGTGAGCAATATGGCAACTAGCCACTATGAGAGAGAGAGAGAGAGAGAGAGAGAGAGAGAGAGAAAGAGAGAGAGACAGAGAGAGAGACAGAGAGAGAGATAGAGAGAGAGAGGGAGAGTAAAGGAGAGAGAGAGAGACCAACATTTTAACAGATAACATCCCTCTTTAGCTTCAAGGGTCCACAGATGGAAAAGTACTGAGCTCTTGGAACTGTGTTTAAAGAACTACATCCTCAGGAGCCTCTGACATCCTGATCTTATTTCAGTAATGAGATTCTGGACTCTGAGATACCGTAATTCAGTGAGACTATAGGGAACCTGGGGGAGGACAAATGTATTTTGCACAGAGTAGGCAGATTTTAAGATAGCTCCCAATGATCCCACCTTCCAGTGGTCCACCCTTTGAGTATAGGTGGGACCTAGTGACCAGCTTCTAATTAAAATAATACAGAAGTGATGGGATGTCATTTCTGATACTAGATTCCAATATAAAATGATGGATAGATATAGGACAAGTTGCCATAGACATTCCTACTCACAAAAGAGAGAATGAGAGACACAAAGATGTTGCTAAGCCTAATCTGAAAACAAGGAGGCAGAAATCCAAGGGGACATTTTAGAGGCTGTCCACAGCCTGTCCTTTCATCTGATTCTAATAACCAAAAGAGTACAACTTTAGGGAACTACTTTATGAAACTTGAGGTATAGCTGATTTTTCGATATATATGGAGCTGTGAGTTTGTATTGCAATTTTTCTTTGGCTCAGAGTAAAAATTACTGTCGATTACAAAACTATTGGAAGAAACTGCTTAAAATTTTATTTCTTTTGATCATGACTTTCTTTTCATCACTGACTTTTGGATTAATTTTCCAAAGATTTTTAAATACTTTCCTAATATTTAATATAATGTGGTAGCTCTGCACTTACTGTATTCTGTATTTTTCTTCAATTTATCAATTTACCCAGAATTTGCATAAAATTCAATTATACTCTCACACACACACACACACACATTTTTTTTTTTTTTTTTTTTTTTTTTTTGGTAGTGGGGATTGAACTCGGGTCCTTGCACTTGCAAGGCAGGCGGCGGAACCACTGAGCTAAATGCCCGGCCCTCAATTACACTCTTGGAACATCATAGTTTCTACTTTGAGTATGTTATTCCATAGCTTTTTTGCACTCATGACAGAACTAAAGGAATACCATCCACTTCCTTTCTCTACGCTGCTTTCTGAAGTTCTGGTAGAAAACGCTATTTTCCTTCCTTTTCTATCAGCCTAGAACACTGGTTCTCATCCAGACACTTTTGTTCCTCAAAAGACATTAACTAATATCTGGAGATATTTTTGGTTTATAATTTGAATGTGATACTGGCAGTTAGTGCGTGGAGGTCTGGGGCACTAAGCATCCTAAAATAAACAGGATGAACCCTGTACAATAAGTAATTATCTGGTTGAAAATGTCAATAGTACCAAGGTTGAGAAACTGTTCTGAAAACAAATCACTCCTCCCACCTTAAATATGATGACATTAGAAAGTTGTTTCAGTCCTAGCTATTATATTAATTGATTTCCCCCAATCACACAATTCCTCAAAATAACAACAAAGAGGAATTAAAAATAAAAAATAAAAACCAACAATTGCAGGCAAAACTGGTACTACATCAGTTACTGAAAGATCGACTAATATAGTCTGAGATAAATGGCACTGAACATATGAGATTTCACTGACCTTATAGTCAGGATACCTCTTTTAATTGAACATGTACTGGATACCTTGGAATCTAATTTTATACTTTAAATGTATATAATTGGTATTAACTAGAAAATGTCTATAATAAGCCTATCCAAACTAGAGCATGGATTAGGAAAATTTTTAAATTTCTATATCTTAGAATGATGTCAAAATAACAACAAAATTGAGAACTTAAAGCAATATGATAGAATCCCTAAGGTAACTGATAATATCAAGTAACAGTGGTGCAAATTTTTATTATTATATAGCATTTCTATTTAATTCTTATATCTTCATTTAAATAAGCTGTATATAGCTTTATAAATCATCTGTCTGAATATGTAGAACAGGGCTTTGAGGGAGGAATACACACTATTTTTAATTGAGTCTGACTAGTCTATTCATAATATGAACATACTATTCTCACATATCAGTTTTTATCTTCAATGACATAGGCAAGATCTAATATCAAATTTGCTGTCTCTACAGCAACCTTTAGACCACTGAGCTTAGCAGTCAAACAGTCCAGGGTTAGGCTGTGGGTTGATTGTGGCCTGATTTCCTCAGTTTCATGTGGAAGGCAGGCCTGGGGTACAAAAGGATGACATGTGCTTTTTAAGAAAGACCAGCTGAGTTCTTCCTGGCTATTGTACACTCCACAGCCACATCGAGAAAGCAAATCTGTCCAGTTAACAACAGAGGGAGGACCTGCTTGAATTGTCCAAAAGTGTCCATACTTCATGTCAGTCAGAGTTTCACCTCCATCATGTTCCAAAGAGCCAGCGAGAGACTCTAGAGCACTGCAAAAAGCTTCAGCAATTAGTTGAAGTTCTGCCTGAGTACATCCATCATCTTGGAGAATACTTCCTGGCTCCTTGTAAATCTAGAGTAATAAAACCATTGAAAACATGTAGTGAGCGATCAACACAAAAATATTTCAGAATAAGATATTTGATCAAAATGTCATTCAGAAAGTTCCTTCCCACCTTGATTTACTTTGGGGTTTGGCAACAATGGTCATGGGCTTATATGGCTCAGCTGACCAGGCTGCAAGCCCTTAACCTGGGTGCTTATAATAAAATCATGTGCTCCCCGCCCTGCGATCAGAGTGACTGAGTCAGAGGAACCCCCGCCTCAGGGTTTTGTGAGGGACTCTCTAGTGCTGCCTCTTTAATAAAAAAGGGCAAGCCATGATGCATGTTTTTATTGCACAAAGGCAGGTCCTGAACAATAATGCTCCAAGTGAAGTACTTTTTAACTATATTAGCAAAATACTTCAGGTTTGTTTAAAATAAAAATGCACACATTACTATGATGACATCATATGTGGATATGTTCAATTTCCATATCCACACATTAAAATTGCAGATTTTTCTCTTAATGAAAGGGTAATAAGACTATAATCTGCTTTTCTAATTTAACATTCTAAGAAGTTTATTCTAGAAATTTCTTAATAAAGAAAAATCAATATAGCAAAAAACTATTAACTGAATAATGGTTAAAGAATTCATATTCTAATTTCTTTTTGTGTAACCAGCTTTGACCCAGATGAGACAATCTATACTGCATATATTCCCCATATCCTCTAGGCTGTATCACTTCTGCAAAATCTTCCTAAGATTCCACCTTTCTTCAAAACACTTTTTCTAGTTTACTCAATTTAATTTACAGATTACACCATTGCCCACTCAGCCTCATTAGATTGGCATGGATTTTTTCACAATGTATATTTTGATAACTTCTCTTGCACGTGTGTTACTTCAAATAGATTTTAAATTATTTCAGGAAGCATAGAGGGACCTGTCTATAAAAATGTTTATTTTCTCTCTAGTCCCAGTTATCTCTTGAAGCTCTGCAGAGCCTCTCTGTAACTCTCTGGTCTATGCATTGAGTTCACTGTGAAAATACGGAAAATATGGATGCCTTTTTGTGTCCATTTTCAAGCAAAGTAGGCTAGGCCTTATATGAAATAATTTATCAGAACTATAACACACTAAACTTATCTGATAACTGTCAGGAAATGGTACTTCCTGAACTAATAAAAAATTTGGTCTACAGAATTAATACCATACATAGCTATCAATTTTGCCATACATAATCAATTTAAAATTGCAATAAAATCTGATACTTAGAATGCTATTATAAATGAAGTCTGTCTTTGACACTCCAGAAAGCACTAACGTACTTTGTAGGACCTTGGCCCTTTTGTTATGAACACCAATTATGGTTGAATTTCAGGATTTGAGATTTCTGCGAATTCTCAGGAACAAATTGCTAGTTTTAACAAGCAGTCTATGCACACAATACTCAAATAATGGTATCATTTGCTAAGGGATAAGATTTGTAATAACTGTTTCAAAAACATCTTACTTTGTATTTATAAGAATTATTTTCCTCAAGTGTCTTCAAGCACAATATCTGAGTTAGATTATTGAACAATTAAGCTTTAAATGTTCTAAGATATTATAACTTGGTTTATTATCTCATAAAAGAGAAATTGCTGAGAATCGATGTCCTTTGCAGAGGACTCTCCAATTTACCTTGTGTCTGATACAGGCAGCCAAATGAGTTTCAGTGCAGCCACCTCCCAACAAAACCCATGGCTCCTTGATGGTTAACTGCAAGGCATGCAGTGCCGTTTGACATGTGAGCTGAGAAAGAAGCAAATCAGAATCAGGTACCACGGAAGTACCATCATGCTCTCAGAGCAACATAACTAGTGGGCTCAAAAGATCCGATTTTAACTGACAAAAACAAAATCTGTTTTGTCAAGTTTGCAATATGGTTAATACTTTTTGGAATAACAAGATTAGAGATCAAAGATACTTTAGCCAGAAGTCTGTTTTTATGGAATTTAATTCATATTTTCTTTCACATGCAGGTAGCTCTTCAAATTAAAGAGTTCACAAATGTATGATCGAGATTTGCTGGTACTTCTAAATCACTATCATAGATTATCACTTCCCTTATATAAAAGTTGCACGTTACTGTTGGTACAGAATAAACTGTACTAAGGTGGGTGATATGTACTAAGTGAATTCATACACATTAGCATTTAGAGTACACAATTCAAATGAATTTCTTATAGAAAGTTCACATCAAGGATCTTATAGGCCTCTTGTGAACAGTAAGAACAGCAAAACATGCAGATCTACTATAGTCTCACAAATTAGTTCCACTCTCTTCTATGGGGCACAGATTGAACCCAGGACCTCCTGCAGGTTGAGCACAAGCTCTATCTCTGAACTATGTTCCCAGCTATGTTTAATTTTTAAAAATGTATTACAGTAAGACACATTTCTATAAAACCTCCTCAAAATAGTCACTTCAAACACATCTACCACAACGTTCTCATCATTTTCTGAAGCAGTTTTAGATACTGTCTCACGTCTTCACAAAGTGTGATAAAAAGAACAGCAAATGCTGCTGCCGAGTACCATCCAACAGAAAGGGAGCTTTGAAAAATATTACTGTGGGGCCAGGGATTTAGCTCAGTGGTTCTACTCCCTGCCTCAAAAATGCAAGGTCCCAAGTTCAATACCCGGTACAAAAAAATAAGGAATTACTGTGTCCTCATCCACCTTATTTGCTGGATCCGGCACTGCATGACTTATGGTCTTACTCAAAGTCAAAATGACCATGAAAGTAAACATTTCGAACTGATGTAGGACATCTAGGCAGCTATGACAGTGCAACTAAAGACACTAAAGAAAGAGAACTTCCAGAACTGCTTCAGAAAGTGGCAAAAACAATGGAAAAAGTGTGTTTTAAGTGAGAGGGAGGATTTTGAGGGAGATTAATGACAATATGTTTAAGTATGATTTTTTAAAATTTAAAGTTATTTTTCAGTAATACTACATAAAGCACCTGTTCTGTGACTATTTCATCCCTGCCCCGGCCCCTAGATATGGAATTCAAAGTTCCTTCTTTACCTTCAGCTCATCCCAGGCAGTGTCATTTCTGTTGCAGAGAAGCAAGCTGCAGACAGTTGCTTCATTAGGAATAAGATGAAAAAAATGCTTCCAGCCAAATTTAGCAGAGCACCAGTCTTTCACACTTCCATAACTACCAGGAGATACTGAGCCCAGGGAACCAATAGGCTGTGTTCCTGTTTTTGTAAAGTATAGAAAAAATAAAATATTTAAGCTAAGGTAGAGCAAACAACAATTCAGAATTAATATTATTCCTAGGTAATACATAAGTCTCACAAAAGCTTATTGCTTAAAATTTTAAATGTAGCATAAAGAAATAAAATTCTGCTGGGCATGGTGGCATACTCCTGTAATGCCAGCACTCTGGGAGGCAGAGGCAGGAGGATTTCAAGTTTCAGTCCAGTTGGGGTAGCTTAGTGACTTAGCAAGACTGTCTCAAAATAAAAAAATAAGAAAATCAAATTTTAAAAAAAGCCAGGGTGTGTGGTTCAATGTGAAGGCTCAGAGTTCAATCCCCAAAAACAAAACCCCAACATAAATACAAAAGAAAAAGAAAATGCATCTTCTTAAATCTATGAAATTAGTATTCAGCTAGTAAAATAATATACAAATAAAGTAAAGCAGAGGTTCTTTTGGATCTTGTTTAAAGAGCTCTTTAAACATTTGCTAGAGGCTATTTTGTACACGTTCCAGAAAAAAGAGGTTCATAATTTTGCACACATTTTTAGGAAGTTCAGGAACTGTGAATTTCCAGCATTAAAGACCCTAAGTTAAATATTATTATTCTGGGATAAAGGTGATGTGAGGGTAAGGCTTTTTTTAAGGCATTATTATTTCAATTTAAAACAAAGAAAATGCCCAAATATAACTTTTGGGGCTTTATTTAGGAAACATATATGAAAAATTATTTTTGCTTAACAACTGTTTTTTTTTGTGTAAACAGCTACTTAAATTATACCAAAACGAAGTATGTGGCATAGTCACTTTTTTATTATTTGATCTAGTGAATGTTTTATTCTCACCCGACAGTTAAAATAGTAAAATTTTACAAATCACAAATTAGTAAAGATAAAAATGAAGAAATTAGGATGGCCTGGATTTTTGCATAAATCTATTAACATAGTGAAAATTATATAAGAAACTTATATTGAACTTCTAAAAGAAATAACATTGGTTTAGTCTGAATATTAAAACTGCAGTCCAGAGCAATCTATTCCCCTGGCACCAGCTTCCTTTTCTAAAGCAACACAGAGTCAAACAACTGTGGGCCAGCTCCCACTTAGCACTGTTTGTATGGGGAAATGTTCCAGACTTTAAAAACAGATTAAATAATCTGGAATAATACCCAATATCAATAGGCTAGAAAATGCCAGATTAACGAAAAGCTAGTAGACATTTAAGGCTACAATTCTGACCTATATTAACAATGAGTTTCTAAAGATTATTTTTATTATTTCTTAATAATTTTTAGACTCATGTCTTAAAAAGGACACTAATCAAGCAATATGATGCATTCAACATTTGCCACCCATACCACTCTTTAATGATTTATAAGACATTAACTTTAACAATGGTCTAATAACTTCAAAATTGTAGCCAGTGCAGGAACTAAATGATCATCTTCCTGATTTGTCATCAACACACTGAAGGGATACTGAGAAGTAGCTACAATCAGCAACTCTTTTTCTTTGGCTCTAACAGGTGAATGAGTCTTAGATGTTATTTTAATTGGCTGAGTTTGTGAAATACAGATTTCCTGCTTACTGTAATTCTTTAGATTACTAAATGTATTATCTTTAATTCAGAAAAAAATTTAGACACTATTGTGTTTCACACCTGTTACAAGTGCTAAAAATGCAAGGTGACCTTGGTTCTCAAGGAACTCAGCTGGGAATTTTTTTGATATTTAAACCTACCTCCTCTCCCTCCCAATCAGAAACCATTTGCGCAGAAGTACAGAGTATCACTGGTGTTAGGATAAAAGTGAAGGGCATTCTAGCAATAAATTACCTTCTGAATATAACATGATTTAGAAGCTTTGCACATTTGAGTAGAATATGAAAACATTATGAGGATGTTAGGCTTCTCAACTACCTGGGGTTATAATAAACTACCACATTTCAGGGCTAAAGAAAAGAAAATGGCTATAATCACTTCATTTTTAGTAAGTGAACAACAGAGGATCTTTTTAAGCAACAACCTTTGCTGCCAAAAATGATATGCCGTGATGTTGACGGCTTCTAAAATTATGACTTTAACAGTGACACAAACCAAGAATCTTGGCTCCCCCCCCAAAAAAAAGACTTATTAACTGTAAGGGACAAAAGCCAAGAGTGCTTTTTACCTGTCACTTTGCTTAGAGGCTCCATCAGCATTACTCCCACTCTGTCTATGGTGACAATGTGATGCAGAGTAAGGAACTGTTTCAAAGATGGATGTATAACTTTTTGGCATAGGACAAGATCCACATGGTCACTAACTAATTGCCTTCCTAGGTTAATCAACTGGTCCAGGACTGCATTTTCAAGAGACACTCCATCACTGACCACCATACATCCTTCTCCAAGGTCAGAAAAGTCTCCGGATAAAGATGTAGAAAAAAGTGCCACCTTGAGGGGACTTGACTTTCGGACAGGTAATACCCTCATAAACTGAGCTTCTGACATTTCAATGAGTACTCCGGGTAACACAGTAGAATCTGTAACTCTTTGACCTTTTAAAGGTACAATTATACTCTTTCCTAAAATGATAGGATCTTCTGTGTTTCCTGGAATTATAAGCAAAAAAGCTCTGAGAATCAAAATACTGACATGATCTATTTCCTTCCTTGTGAGCATACAGGCGGGTTTACTTGTTAAAATACTGCGTACCAGACAAAGGAGGATCTGGGTATTACTAAAATCGACTGGGATCCGGCAGCCACAGGCCTCAGACCTGAGATAACTGGTGCAGAAATTTAAAAGGTGTGTATTAAGTTTAATGGTGGTGGTGGCTGTCAGGTCTGTTTTCTGAACATTTTCAATTAGGTTGCAGCAAAGAATGGCTGTGAATAAGCCACAATCACTGAAGCAGGACACATGGTTCTGCACAGATGCTGTCAGGATCTTTAATATGGGATGGGTGACCGAGAGGTTGCGCAGCAGCACTGCAGACTGGGAGGTTGTGCACACAGAGCCCCCTGTGCTGTTGTGAAGCTGCTTCAGCCGCCCAGAAGGGCCATAGCAGGATGTTAGGATGCCTTTTAAGACACAAAGTGTGGCCCTGACTTTCTCAGCTGTGAGCGGTTCGCTGTGACACAGTGATGGCTTCTTAGCTTCTAAACGAGACAACATATTTGGGGTGTGACTTGCGAAGCCAGCTTTTACTGTGTTAACCATATTTTCTACTTATGGCCATGTGTTTTAAAATATTTTTTAAAATATTCTTCAGGAATATTCAGTGTTGTGGCTATAAAATTATATGACTCGGTATTTCTGAAGCTAATCAACACATAATGACTTAATAACATATTAGTAATTCCAAGTATTTATTTTACTTTATTCTTCAATACTCTTTTGTTTGCCTCCTGCTTGAGATTTCACAGACTGTTTTGCAGCCCTCTGTATGATATATGTTCCCAAATGGACACCTATGAAAGCCACCCCAGCTACAAGAAGCCAGTTCTTTCTAATCCAATTGATTTTCATTTCTTCTTTTAATATCGAGCTCAGATTCAAAGCTGCTTCTGTCTAGAACAAATAAAAAATAAAACATTTTAGAGGAATAATTCCAAACCAGTTTGTAGGCTGCAGTTTAATGTTGATTTTCATGTTCTTCATTTTTATGAAAAGAAACTCTGTCAGAAGCCTTGAGAAAATGAGAAAGGTAAATCAACTTAGACTTAATATTGCTTTATTCTTCAATGAATTGCCCTGATATAGAAAAAAGTGCTTGTATTTCAATAATTTTAGAATGCACAATACAGCTAGAAAGCTTATACATACATGCTTCTGGGAGAGAAATGCTACATTATAAACTAAGAATTTTGTCTTTGAGTCTTAAAGAAATAATCCCAATGTTTTTATTTTTTTACAGTAATATTTAATGTCATGCTTTTAGTAATGACTACTTTGCTTGGAAACTAGGTTAGAACAGAAGTGCATGTATGGCAAATCTTACCTGTAATTATCAAAAACTGTTAGCATTCCTGGAGAAATTCAATAACGTATAGTCTATTCTTAGCTGAATAAATGTGCATAACACATTGTATCAATACACAAACCAAAGTCTAAATACTCGGATAAGTTAGAGTTACCTTTCTTTCATTTTAGTTTACCAATCAATAATTTTCAGTTTTCAAAGTGCTAACCTACTACCCCTAAACACAATGTTGGTTAATGACAACAAATAATAAAACAAGGAATGTGCTGGATGACAAAGATAAAAGTAGAATCTGATTTGCAATTCCATCACAGAGTCTAAGTATCACAAAATAATATATATCAAATGGGCAAGCAGAAATACAATAATAGCACTCTTAAAAAGTAAACAGTATGTGTTGAGACATGAAATCCCTACACTTTCATGTGTGAAAAGAATTTTGATAACCTTATCTGTTAATGTTTGGTGCTGTGAAGGTGAAGAGTTAGCCAATTATTAGTAATTCAGGAACATGCTAATTATGCCAGCTACTTAAAGAGTACTGAGCATTAATAAAAGTAATCTACCTACTTAGCCTAATGTACTTCTGAGTAGACTATGGGACAGTACGGTGGTGCAGACCAAAATGATGATTTGAAGATGTGCAAAGGGGTAAAAAGAGGAAACGTTATACAAAGCACTATTTTGGTTACTGCTTCCAATTTAGTTAAAAAGCTGTAACCATGGTAACTGGGCTCAACCAAAGTGAAGGCAACTGGCCAGCTTTCCCCTTTCAATGATAAAGCTACAGGAACCTCTGGTTATGGCATGAGGGGAAAACAACAACAATAACAACGACAACAAACACAAAAACCACCTGTTTGTGTATCTTATGCTAGAAACAGCCAAGATACTTAAGTATGATTCCAATGGTTACTTCAGATTCAATAAAATCTGAGAAACACACTTAAATGAAATCCTAGCAAAGTTACTTCCACATGGTAACTTATTAGATTTCATACATAAAATACACAACAGAGACTATGATTAATAAAAAGACTTTTCTAATTTTCCCTGTTCATATCCCTTAAAGCTTCTATAAAATCAAATTTTACAAAGAATATAGTAAAGTTACATAATCAAAAATCTGAGGCCCTTTCAATTTTAATTTTTTTTTCCTGAGGCCTTTTGTTAAATGAGGAAAATCTTACTAAGTTCTACTTCCGCAAGGAGCAGAATCTTAAAGTGACCCACTTTTACCAAAATTTATAGCACAGTACTTACACTTACCTCAAGGTCGAAATGTTTATTAGCACATAATGTGCTCCTTAATTACATGGTCACAGTTCTTTACCTGGAACCCTTAGGGCCAGATGAATTTGATACTTCAGAATTTCTTGGGTTTTACAGTATCTAACATTCATAATCAAACTAAATTAATGCATACTCATAATTAATTATATAGTATGACACTAATAATCAAACACCTTTCAGCAGTTCAAATAAATTTTCATATCAAGTGGAATACTTCAAACTGCCTCGTATTATTTAAGATCAAGTTTTGCTGGCAAATGAGTTACAAAGAATGTTTTGGATTTTAGAATTTCTTGGATTTTGGAATACAGATGAGGGTCTATGGACTCCAATTATATAGCAACATCTTCTTTATTCACCGAGTCTCAAAAGTAACATTATTTTGAAACTAAAATATCAGATGCTAACAGATAAATGCAACTATTTTTATTTGTCTCAGGAAAAATGAAAAAGGCGGGTTATAAAAAAATAGCAGGTAACTGGTCAGTTTAGGCTTTTTCTTGCCAAAGCTCTGTAAAATCAAGTCTCCCATCACTGGAATATATCCGAAAGCTGACCAGATTAAATGGAACTTACCTAAAGATTGCAAGCCTTCTATTTGCCTTGGATTTGTCTCTTTGGTGGGCTTGCAAGTGCTGGACTGTCTGGCTCAGGAATGTTGTCCTTAGTAGGTATTTGGAAAATAGGGCTGCTTTTGATTCTGTGCCACCCTAAATGTATGAGCCCGATTAAGGGCACCATAACAACCAGAACTTTGTAGTCTCTCCAGAATTTCTGCAAACTCATAGTCCTTTGGCATCTGAGCACCTAAGAAAAAATCACAGTTAAAGAAAAAAACATGTAAATTCTCACAAATTATTTTTATAAACCATTTTAAGTTATACACTAAACTCCAATAAAACCTGAATCAAATATTTTGCAGTGCTAATAATGGGAGATATTTTGTAGACACTAAGGGACAACAGGACCTAACACTGGGGAAACTTATAAAGTAATGTTTTACTTTTACTCAACTATTGTGAAGGACAATATTAGTTGTAGGGAAACCCACACAAAACCTTTGGAAATACTCATGCGTTCTTTATATTTGTTATTAACATCTCTCTTCCTCCCTCCTTTTTTTTTCCTTCCTTCCTTCTTTCCGCTTTCCCTCCCTTCTTTCTTTCCACACTGGGGACTGAACCCATGGCCAACGTTCTAATGGGCTACATCTCCAACCCTTATTTTTTTAAAAATTTATTTATTTATTTGTTTGTTTATTTTTGAATCCGGGGCCTTTGTACCAAGCTCATCCACAGCGCATTTTTTATTCTGAGACAGAGTCTAAGCAAAACACTAAGTTGCCTAGGATGGGCTCCAACTTGGAATCCTCCTGCCTCAGTCTCCCAGTGTGCCACCATGCTAAGCTCTTATTTTTAATGATTACATTTAGTCATAATTTTAACAGAAGAATCAAATGGTAACCCTTAAACATGTGGTGAAAATTTAGGATTCCTGTTCTGACAAAATGTAAATGATGGTGTTTTAACAGAGACTGGAATAATAAGTACAGATTCCAACTGTAGCAAAAGACTTTGGCATGGGAGTTGTGACTCTGAATGATAAGTAGTATTTCCACATTTATGTGTTGATCCACTGCATTATACTTTTTGCCCAGGATCACTAGTAGCCATGTCCCACAATAACTCTCAACCTCAGGTACATGAAGACTCTGGGGCCAAATTACTGCCTAAAGTTAGCTAGTTGGTGATGAATACACACTTTGTTTCCTGTCTCTCATTTGACAAGTGTGGCATAGAGCCCAGGAAAGCTGTGTTCTGAGGACCCATTAGGTTTGGAAACTCACATCTAGAAAAATTTTAAAGCTTCCTTATACCTTTACATTTTAGGGATACTCATTAGTGATAAACTTACAGATTGTGATGACTGATAGTCCATCATCTATGAGACATGCTTAAGATTTGTTTCAGTTGCACCTATATTTTAGTATCATGAAATCTCCTAAATTACTTTGTATAAATGCAATTAGAAAGACGTGTACACTTTCTACATACCCATTAACATTTAAATCAGTATTAAAATATGGCAGCAATGTGAGAAATAATCTGAACTGT